TCTGGATTTTTCCAATAAATGTTGTTTATACCCTTCAAGGGATAAGAAAAACCCCCTCTGATTGCCTTACAAAATCTAGAAATGTAACCATACCATTCATTATGCAAAAATGGTAAATGTTTTATGCAAAAATAGAAAACAATAATAATGAGTTAGTTATTAAAGCTTCCAGCCACCATGAGGTATTGTTGCTGAATAACAAGGAACCGGTGCAATCTATAGCTTCAGCCTATGCATCCACTGCTGGTTGACTAGACAGACCCAAATACTGAATATGCGTTAAATTTTTTTGGATTGGGTAACCCTTTTCCTTCAAAATTTCCTTTTTTTTTCAATGGCTAGGAAAACTTGGGAAAAGAAAAGTGAAAAAAAAGTTAACCTCGACAATTGCAACTAAACAATGTGGTGGACACGTATTAATACTATCAAATAAAGCTTAAACCAAACAACTTTCGTCCCTGTTAATAAGGTTTAATAAGGGTCAACTACATGACTATTTTTGTCATTCTATAATTCCAAGAGTTATAGACTGTGTTAAAATTTGAACACACGTATCTTTTTTCAGTTATATCAATATATACTAATTTTGGTTAATCCCTCCTAACTCTTCTAATAATTGTGATCATTTCTCTATTCATTACAAGAAAAAAATATTAGGTATAACCGTTACACATCAGTATCACATGGTGTAATCGTCCACTAATAAATAAACATGTTTACGAGTGAGTCTCACAAAATTTCATAACCACTTAATCATGTAATATATAAAGAATACAATTATGCTATTGGGACATACAATGGAAACATAAAATGGGACTTAATGAGATGGCATTTGACGTGAATTTGTTACCCCATTAAAGTTTCTCCAACTAGTTTATTCAAATTCTGACTCGATTCTCTCATTTGGTCTCCTACTTAGGTTTGCCTCTTCCCGCCGATTACCATTCATTCTGTCTTCTGCTAGCAACCCATCGTTACCATTATTCTGTCTACCAACAAGCAACGAAGCTCCCTCTACATTCGAGACA